TTTTTTTTTTTTTAATGTTTATTTTGTATTATTGTCATCTGTGAAACGACAGGCAGAGGATGTGATGCGGTCTTTGTTGGAAGAGTACGCAATTGCACCTCAGAAACAAGACGATCATGTCACTGAAGGTAGTGACAAAGTTATAGTTACCGAGGGTGAGAAAGCAATCTCAATGGACAACAAACCCAACCCTGAGGAGAGTTCAAGCCATGAGCTTGACACTGCATCTGAGGGTTTAGAAATTGACAAGCAGGAAGTGAGAAGCCAACCTCAAAGCAGTTGCACTTCTGAAAAGGGGAAAACTCCAGTCAAATGTTTCAGTAATGTTGTTGCTATTGTTGATCCTCCACGAAACGGACTTCACCCCACTGTGAGTAACACTCTGGTGCATTCCATATGAATCTCTGAAAATTTTGCACCCTTTTTGACTCATGGTTTGCTCAACCAGCATGTGAATTTGATTGGTAAATTTTCAGTTTGGCCCATGCGAGCCTTGAAAACTTTAACCTTTTTTAAAAGGTCAGGTTTGTTTGGGCTAGCTTGCCCACTTGAAATCTTTGATCAGAATATCAAAGACTGAAAAGTATATGGAGGTAGCAAATTTGTCTAGTGAACCATGTTGAAGTGAATGAGTGGTTTTTCAGAAGTTTTGGAGACCCTTCCACTGGTAGCCTACAAGCTGTTTCTTGTTCTTATCAAATACGCTCATCTTTTTACGAGTGCGTCAAAATTTCTTATCCATTAACTGGTGTTAAATACTGCAGTTGTGGGTTTTTTTTCCTTCGACTCACAAAATAGGCTCACTTCTGGAAATGTTCGGAGTAATCGTCTTTCCATGGTTCTAAATAGTCTTTTTTACTTCTTTTGAAATCTAGTAAACTGTTTATGCAAAAATTATGTTCTTTTTTGTTTATGTTTACCGCTGAACAACATTTCCTAATTGGTTTTCTCTGATTGAGGACTGTGATTTGATATTGGCTATTGACGTGAGCATCAACAATGTCTATATGTTTAGTAGCTTTTGTTGTATGTTTGTGACAATATATTTCCCGAGACTGTTGAACCTGATGATTGGTCTGAAATATGTAGGTGATCAAAGCACTGAGGACTCATGCTGATCTACGGAAGCTTGTGTAAGTTCACATACTTTGCCGTGTTTTTTTTGCCTTCATTTATTTCAGTACCGGAAGCTGACTTTCTTTTCCTATTTGGTATAGCTACATTTCCTGCAATCCTGAAACGTTGGTGGCAAATGCGATCGAGCTTTGCACACCTTCTCCTGAGAAAATCGACAAGAACAAGAACAACAGAGCATGGAGAAACATGGGCAGTGCTGGCCTAGCACGGCACAGAACCAAGTCTATGCCTGCTTCAGAGCCTTTCCGTCCTGTGAAAGCAATGGCTGTCGACATTTTCCCACATACCGTACACTGTGAATTAGTAATGCTCCTTGAGAGGTAGGCATGCAGCTGATCACAACAATCTGAATGGTTCAACAAATAATTTATTTCGTTTACTAACAAAATTTTGACAGAATTTTACAGTTAGTTTTCAATTAGCATCTACCAGTTTTGTAGCGTTGAAGTATTTGAATGCTCGATAGACTTTCGTTTTTCACGAGTGCATATTTTCATTTGTTGAATTAGTGTCACCTATGCACATTGATCCAACGACCAACTGCTCTTTGACGGTGAGAGGAGCTGGGAGGTGGCGTCCCAAAAGTGTTTTACATGTCCAAACTTCAATGGCCTAGCCTTATGAGATGTGCCATCCTTTAAAAACGATGTTCCAGTGGAGTCCTATTAGGAAAGAAATCCAAGAGGAAAGAAATCTCACACTTTTGATAAAAAACGATGTGACTGGATGGTTAATTCAACAACATAATATTTGGCTTGGGCCGTTTAAACTACAACCATTATTTCTCATTTAATGAAGGAGTGAAATCATTTAAATATACAAACGTCATATTCAAAATTATTCATCCTCTTTATCAGCGTTTAAAGGGCATGCATAGGAAAATTTATTCATTTTGTAGATTGTTTAACAATTCATGTATTGAAGAAAATGATGGGTTATGATAACAAATAACATCTTTGTGATGAACAGTTAATTTGTTTGATTTATATGGATGACTAAATATTCTTCAAATCGAATGAATGTTTTTAAGGATGGTCTTTAGATGATCATAGAGTTCCGATTATGATATTTGAATACTGCTTTTCCTCATGCTTCTTTTTCTCTCTTTTGCTTTCTCTTCTTTTAAATTCATTGGCCGCTGACAGCTAAGGATACCTCCCGCATAATTTGTACTGGAAAGGAGGAAAAAGCATAACAAATTTTTACTTTGGAGTTTGTATTAAATAACTATTAGTCATATTCAAACAGTATTTTAAATGAATTATACGTTGCTATTCATTTTAACTTTTCAATATAACATTTTAAATGAATCATACGTTGCTATTCATTTTAACTTTTCAATATAACTATATGTGATTGACTTATTCTAATAATATTAACTTATCACAATAACACCTTGTTACATGAAAGTCCTTCGTATGATGGAGTATTTCAATAATTTCAATTAGGTTTGGAACATTATTGTTTAATTGGAAGCTCCATTGGGTTTCACTTTTTCAATTTAAATCATTGTTTTATCTTGTTTAGCAGCCATTTCGGACTTTAAGCAGGCACGTGGCACTTGGTAGGCTTGTTTCTTCCGACATATGATGATCTCTAATTTATGATTTGTGATAATATTTGTGGTGAGAACAACAACTAGCACCACCACCGTGAGAAAGGCGCAAGTATGATTGATTTGGATTATACTACGCACTAGGTTACCCATAACTTTATCAAAGCCTCTCTCTCTCTTTTTCCTCAATCAAGTTTACCGTCTAACACAAGAGAAAGATTCGGTTGTAACCGAGATTACCTCATTTTATTCTTAAAATACTTATCATTTAACTGACTACATGAATTGTATTAGATTATAATTATCATAAAACACTGCCTCAAGCTCGTCTCTAATAAATAATAATCAATAAGAATGCAAACATTTGAACTCTATTATGTCTATATAGCGTAATAGTAATATGTAGATTAAATGTCTTAATCATGTTAGGGAAGCAACAGAGACTGTTGACTCAAGTCTAAGTGCTTTTTTAACCAGCAAGGAAGATGGAACTTTGAAAAGCAGGGTCTCCCGCCCAAGAAACTGGAGCTTGAGAGGCCCTTTATAAAAGCACTGCAGGGAAAAGCGAAGTGCTGGGGTTTCTAATTAAGATTTTTGTAGACTTTGATTACGAATGCATTAACTACCTAAGAAAGTTGTAAACAATTAATATGAGATAATGTTAAAAAGATTGGGAATAAAAACAAAACTGTGGCTTTTGTAAATTAGTAGGCTTAGTGCCCTCATCACTCACCGTGCTGATGTGATACTTTTATGATTCTGTAAGTCATCTTATTTACCATCACTGCCGCCAGGTGCTCTATTATTACTCGGTGCAGCCATTTCTCCTCCCTTATGATTTCTTCCCACCAAGCAAATTACTATTCATTGTAAAAATAAGTTAAGTTTAACTTACAGGTTAGGAGAAATGTTTCTTTCTAGGCAATGTCATCTCGAGAAGATTAATTTTTCGGTTCTTATATTATTATTAATGTTACTAATTCACGTGTTATAATATAAGTGGATATCAGAATTAATACACTAGAAACATAATCATAGTAAATCTTGTTATTTTGTAACATAATGCAATGATGAGAAAGAGATTTGCACATCAAAGTTTGGATATTAAACATTTATTTTAGTATAAACTCCTTCACAACGATAAATAATGTGTAATTAAATGAATAAAATTAGGATAAAAGGCTACCAAGATCCATGTTTAAGGGTTAATCCCAAATTCAAACCCAATATTCCTATTGGATGCCTCTTTTACACACACTCAAATTGATTGGTTGAAGGTCAAATTTAAGATTTATGTCAATAAGCGTATATTCATTCATTTGTATGAAACCATGTTCTAAAATAGTAGCACCGACCATGGTATTTAAAGTAGCAAAATTGAGATTCTGAAAGGTCCAACCAAAATGCACCTCCACTTCAATGAGGATTGGATGAATTCTGAACCCAACAACTTTAACAGACGCACCAAGTTCTTGTGACAAACTAAAATGAAACCAACCTCCTTTTAAGAAAAAGAACAAAGTCTTAGACTGTATTGGACCATTGGCATCTCTCTTTTAAAAGTGAGCAAAAATAACTTTAAAGTTAAAATTAGTTACTATTAACTCATTTTAATTTAACAATTATTCTCTGACGTGATACTGTGAACTGTTTTTATTCCACACCGAACAAAATTGATATCACGCCGGTCGCATTATGCTTATTTGTTGCTTGTATAACGTTTGTTTATTCACGCGACACTGATTTAGCGTATATGTAACAAAACATAACCAGCCGACCGAGTGCCATATAAAAAAGAAGAGGGTTAATGTCATAGTAGAAATCAAGCACCTTTCTGACCCTCTCACCGAGGCCCAAGGCTCCCCACCACATTTCCTCCTTTCAAGTATTCATTGAAAATCCTTCTCACATGCTTTTTGATAATTCCACATCTTATTTTTTATGATCTATTTCTTATACTTAAATTTCTTGATATTTTAAAGTTCCTCACCCAAATAGTATCGGAGTAATTAGGGGTGATTTTCGGATAGATCGGAGTGGTCAAAGAAAAAATTGTTAAAGTAAGCAAAGTACGTATGACGAGGGGGTGGAGTTAGCGTGTCAAAAAAGCCCCCCCCGCGCGCACAATGAATGTGACACTCACTGCTGAGGGAAGGAAAGAGTGGAGAGAGGCAGTGTAGGCAGAGTAGGCCACCCCCCTCCAACCCCCCACTACCTTTTGCCATAAATGTGCATTCAGCAGCATCTCCAAGTGTCCTTTCCTCTCCTTTCACCAATCCTACTTGCTTTTCCCTTCCTTCCCTTCCACTCACCCTCCCTCAGACCCCAAGAAACCTACATCTCCATAACTCAAAATTCCAATTTCTCTCTTTTTTTTCCTTTTAATCTCTTTATTTTTTTTCTCTTTTTTTGGGTTTATTTTTGAGATTGGGATGCATAGGCTTGTTGTTTGAAGGGTGTTCTGAATTGGGTTTTGTTTGGTTTGTGGGATTGTATGAGAGAGAGAGAGAGAGAGAGAGAATGGGAACTGAGGAAGAAAAGCATGATCATGGTCAAAGTTCATGCCAGGGGCAAGGAGAAGTTGACGTGCCACTTGACAAGGTACAAACTTTCTGCTTCTATTTACTATTTACAGTTTACAATTTCACTCACTTTGTAATTCTGCAATAGCCATTTTCCCTGTGTTTTGAGCTAATCATGAGCTAGTTTGTAAGTATGTTTACTCGTACCTCAGATGATTAATTGATTGTTTGTTTCATGTCTTTTGCTTGGATCATCTGTTTTCCGATGCTCTTGTTCTCTGTTTGTTCATAAGCCAAAGAAAAAATAAACAGGAAGTTATTGGGATCAATTTGATTGTTAATTCTGTTATGCTTTTGGATTTCTACAACTGGGTTTGTGAATCATTACGGTGTCAAGAAATCGTCCGTTTCGCCGCATTTTCTTTGATTGGTATGACCAATTTGAAACAATATTATTGGTAGAGATCATGCACAAAACTGCAAAACCATATTTGTACTGTTAATGTCTAATCCAGTTGTCAAATATGTAAAGTTTGCCTACAAATCAACAGTTGTAACTTTAATTTTTCAGTGATGCAATAGCAGTTTTTTCTTTTAATTTTGATAAGAAAAGTTATTAAAGTTGTATGGGTGTACAATCTACTTACTGAAATGAGCCGAAGACAGACCTGATGTGTTAGTTCCCTAAACATGATCATGTGCAATTATTTTCAAATCAACATCCTGTAAATAAACTGGATTAACATTTCGTACTCTGAAGAAAAAATTGCGGGTGTCTTGCCGAAATGAGTGTGGTGGAGATTTTAATGTCTCTCAATAATCTTAGCAACATCCAGTTTATGTTGTTTTCAGTACAAATGTGAGTGTTTGACTGCCACATGTGTGTGAATCTAAATCAAATGATAAAATTGTTTTATGTGTTTTCGATAATAGAGACTACGGTTAAATACCTAGCAGTTGTGCATTTAAACATACCCCTGTTGTATTACTACTAATCTCTAAGTTCGAACATTTTAAAGTTACAATGTATCGGATTTGAATTGTGAGATTGGCTGATATTAGAAATTCATAGTAGTGAAAGTTTTCTGGTATATGTTCAGTTATTAAACGATCCACTTCACTGAACTACACTGCAGATTAGGCCCCACAAGTGATCCCCATGGCTTGCAAACCACGGGGATCCCTCTCATGCAGCTGCCTGCACACACAGACACACAGACAGAGAGATATATATGACTTACCTTTGAAACTGGAATCTTGGTATATAAATGATATAAGGAAATAGATTTAAATCTAGTTCAGAAAAAAATGATCAAGTACATCAGATATTACTGATTGTGATGGTGACCATTATCTTTCATGGATCAAGCTGTTTTCTTTTTCCCTCATTAATTTCTGCCTACAAAAAGAATACTACATAAAAGACTTGGAAGACATTTTCGAGTAATGGATACAAAAATGTAGGTTCTAAACAAGCGTATGAGTTAATACAACACTTCTATCTGATACAGCTGGTTACTTCTGTCTTCGGAACTGCTATCTTGTATAATCAGATTAATTTATTGAAAAACTTGAAACAAGAAAAGATTGCTAAGCTGGCAACTAAAATAAATACTGTGTTGCGTTCTGCTCATATTTTACAACCTCTTCAATTCATTCTATATCCTCGTTTGTTCAGGTTGAAGATTCAGTAGTAGTTGCTGAAGAAGCACCCCAAGTTCATCCATGGAAGCGACAAAATCTCCACCTGGAGATACCCACGAGACCATCCGAAGATTGTGTTCAGGATTTTGTTGCAATAAAGATGCCTCCAACACCGAGTCCCACTCCTAGGAAAGTAAATTTTCTCTTGACACCTGGTTCTGTAGATGGAAGAATGAGTGGATCGCCAGGGCCCTCTTCAGCTAAAGGCAAATCATCTATAAAATCTCTTTTACCAAAACTAAGCTTCAAGTATCGAAGTACTGCTGATGCGGAGAAGGCTTCCAACCTAGCTTCAGAAGGTTCTTCTACAGGAGTTCGGGAAAAAGCTTCCATCTCAAGGTCACTGTCTCTCACAAAATTATTCACACCGAAGATGAAGAGAACATCATCCCTACCTGTAACTCCAATGGCACTTGCACTCCGAGAATCTGCACACGGCGGAAGTGTTGGTGGCTCTCTGAATTCAATTGTAAGTTCTGGACATTATTGCTCAAGAATGTCTAATCTAACCTAGTTGATCAACCCACCACCACGTGGTTGTTAGCATTACGGATGTAGCTTCATTAGATGTGTTCAAGTTCTTGTTCAATTAATCACTAGTACATACATAGCATACATGTTAACTAGGCCATCAAACATGTGAAGAATATCTTAGAACTATAACCTCATCTAGTACCCTAGCATCTATTCCTTCCAATTCTATGAGTACCCCCATTATCTTGCTGCTCAAATCTACTTGCTCTTAGGCCATCTCCAACCGAAGGAGGGCCAGAGGGCTCCCTTTAGCCTTATAGCCCTCCAAGAAATTATATTTTATTGAACAGTGCCATGCCATATTTCATACCATCTCCAGCTAAGGGGGCCAAAGGGCTATAGGCCAAACATAGCCCTGTGACAAAAAACCATCTCCAACCGAGGGGGCCAAAGGGCCATAGGCCAAACATAATTTATTATTTCAATTTAAATACTACAACAACTTAAATTTAAAAACTACAACTTAAATTTAAAATTTTATTATTTATTATTATTATTTATTTTTAAATTTTGTTCCAAAAAAAAAAAAAATTCAAATCCAACGGCTACTGGCGTCAGCATGACGTCGGTAAGCATTGGCATTTGAAATTTTGGCCAGCCTGGGGCTAGCTGGCTGGCTCATTTGGGCCAGCCGGTTGGCTTGGTTTGGTGTTTTTGGCCCGGTAGGGCCCACGAGCCCTTTGGCCTAGCCCTCGGTTGGAGACAGTTTTCGTGTCATTCCGGGCTATTTTTAACCCTATGGCCCTTTGGCCGGATTGGTTGGAGATGACCTAACGTCTTAGTCATGTCCATGTATAAACATGTGTATTACTATTACAAAGGCTTGTTTCCTTTTTATCTTACAGAGGAAAGAATCCAAAAGACAGATAGCTCGCTCACTTTCAGTCCCAGTCAACCATAAAGAAGTGAACTTAAGGAGGATGGATTCATTTTTTCGTGTATTTCCTTCCACTCCTCGAGTCAAGGAAGGAGATGATGTATCAATTAGTTCCCCAACAGAAGATGCTGGTATCTTTCTTGTCTAGTTACGATTATGTTATAAACACTGACTGCTGATCAAGTTTTATATGATAACGTTTCTGACTTATAACTTTGTTGTATAAAAAATTTACTTAGGATATTATGTTAACTCTTACTCGATCTTATTGATCTCATGGTTCAGGGAAAGATGATGATAATGGTGAAGACATATCTGAGGAAGAGGCCGTCTGTAGAATTTGTCTTGTGGAACTGTGTGAAGGGGGTGAGACTCTCAAAATGGAATGCAGTTGCAAAGGTGAACTTGCTCTGGCTCACCAAGAATGTGCTATTAAATGGTTTAGCATCAAAGGTAACAAGACCTGTGATGTGTGTAAGCAAGACGTTCAAAACCTGCCTGTCACTCTATTACGAATTCAAAGTGTTCGAGCTCGAAATGCTGGTGCAAGTTTATATGGGCAGGAAGATGCTAATGGGAACAGGCAAGTGGGTTTGCATTTTTAGAGTTCTCATTGTTCAATGCCTCACAAACAAACATGCTTGTTTAATTATCTTGCATCCCATAAGCTCAATAAAAGAATCTCGCTGAAAAAAATGATCCATAGAAAAACATTCATGCGCTAATGTTGTTCGTTCATATCTTTTCAGGGTTTGGCAGGAAGTGCCTGTGCTTGTCATTGTCAGCATGCTTGCCTACTTTTGCTTTCTTGAGCAGCTCCTGGTAAGATTGGAAATCAAAACTGCGGAGTTGTCAATTTATATTTCTGCCTCCTTCATAATATGCATGTTCACTGCAGGTGGAGAAGATGGGTACTGGAGCAATTGCCATCTCTCTTCCATTTTCATGTGTACTGGGTCTCCTCTCATCCATGACCTCATCAACCATGGGTAGGCTGACAATCGTCCTTTCTCCTTAAGTTGTGCAATCTTCGAGTGCTCATTTGTGGTGTGAAAAACACACGTTCTGAGTTTATAGGTTACAAGGAATTGTAACATGCATCGTCCCGAAGGAAACTACAAGAGCAATCATTTAATATTAGAATATAAAGCCATGATATATTTTCGTGCAACCGTGGCAGTGAATTTTTATCATATTCTTTTAAGATCAAAATTCCGACTTATAGATTGTTGATTCACTACCCTAACTTTTGAATCTTCTGTGTTCAGTGCAAAGAAGATTTGTCTGGGTTTATGCATCGGTTCAGTTTGCTCTGGTGGTTCTATTTGCACATATATTTTACTCGTTGGTAAGAAGCTCTTTCTGCAGCAAGTTATCTTTTCTTTGTTTTTTTTAGGTTCATTCCGCACTTTTCTTGTAATCGAAGTGGAACCCAAACGACCTCCTATTTATAATTTGCTGCTCTCAGTGTGGCTTACAAACTTTTATGCATATTATAAATCAGATCATAAATATCGATCAACTTTTTGCACCACACTGAACACTAAGAAATGGCTTTGTGCTATTATTTGGACCTTCAATCCCTTCTGAACAACTAGTATCCCATATCCTGTGATGTACGTTTATTTGAAGTCAATATGCTACACTTATTATCTATGATTTTCTTGTTGAAATAAATGTAGCATTCCAAGTCCTGTCATCTTATGCCAATGTTAAATACTTTTGCATTATGTTGTGGCTTCAGGTCCGCGTGCAAGCAGTTCTTTGTATTCTCCTCGCAACATTTGCCGGGTTGGGAGTTGCAATGAGTGGGAGTTCCATCATCGTCGAGTCCTTGAGATGGAGAAGAAGATGGCAAACTGCATCCGAGCAACGTCAGATGTCCTAATTGTCGACATGAGTCACATGACTAGAGCAGTTCCCAGGAACCATAAATTCACACAGGAGTCCAATCTTTATTGTAAGGTCATCAATGGCTGACATCACGTGTTTAAGCTTATAGCGGAGATATGAGTTTCGATAATTTTTGTAAATATCCTGGAATTTTGTATGCTTCCTATGTTTAATACAAGATTTGAGATTGTATAGCCTCAAGATAGCAGTGGTGGTACCAAGTAGTGAGTAATTAGACGTATTGTTGTTAGAGCAAATGAAGTATTAGTTTCTCGTCTGACCTCCTAGTTCAACTACGCGTTATCTAAACAATTTATAAAAGTTAGGGTTTTGTACTTCCTACATGGTTAATTTCTGCATGCAAATTCCATCAATACAATTATAATATACAGTTATTAAGAACATATCAATGTTCTGTGCTGAGATCTCTATAATTTCAATTTGAAATTATTTAGTGTTACGTTTTCCTTTTAATTTGCACAAAAGGAAAAACTAAATGCTACCTTGCTAAGAACACAAATTCAATTTAATGGTGGCTCTTAAAAGTTTAAGCATTTTAATTCCCAGACTAAATACTTTAGCATCTACAATATTATGAAAACCCAAGACAATGATCTTGTGTTGTTTGAAGAGAAAAAATTATTAATGGAATAACTATTTAAGTCATAATTTGTTGGTTTTGGGTTGAGCTAAGAAAAATATTGCTCAAAGACATGAATCAAGTGCATTAATTAATCTTTGAGTTGGCACCATGACCTAAAATGAGTTGAATGAACTGAATACTTAGTAACACCGCAGATCGAGTGTTTCTTATTTATTCAATGGTGAATAAAAGTTACAGTTACACAGAGTTTAACTTTTATGATATCGAAGCTACACATATAAAGCATGCATGGTTCTTTAAACGAATTGTCTTCGACACTTGCCTTGGTTTGCATTCCCCCAAATCGTACCTAAATGATCGGGGCCACAAATAACATATCATCACGTAGAAATTTTATAATTGGACACGTTCAACTTTTTAATCTTTATTTGAAGACCATTTCTATACAAAATTATTTTCTCAAAGATCGTTTAGTCATTCATATGTATCACATAAATGGATAATTCATCATTAATATGTTACTTTGGTACCTACACCATTGATTTACTCAATACGTAAGACTAAGCGATCTCCCATTAGAATAATTTTTTTGTAAGGATGATCTTCAAATGAAAACTAGGAAATTAAATTGTTCTAATTATGAAGTTTCTAGGGGGTGAAGATATGTTATTTGTAAGTAGGGAAATGAGCTCATCTTTATAATGGGGGAAACGCAAGTATTATTCTTAATAAAATAAATGTTACGGTTATTATTATTATTTTTTTTTTTTGAACAAACAAATGTTACGTACGGTTATTTAGAGTTTAACTTTTTTTTTTTTTTTTTGTCAAAGTTACACGTATAATGCATGCATGGTTCTTCAAACTGACGTTATTCATCACTTACCATGAAAGATAATGAAAAAAATGTTACAATTACACAGAGTTCAACTTATCTGATGTTGAAGCAACACATACAAGGCATGCATTGTTCTTAAAACGGAGGTTCTTCGTCACTTACAATGAAAGTTAATGAAAAAAAGTTACAGTTACACTGATTCAACTCGTCTGATGCCGAAGCAACACGTACAAGGCATGCATGGTTCTTAAAATGGACTTTCTTCACCATTTACCATGAAATTAACAAAATAAACATTATGGTTACATAGAGTCTAACTTTTCTGATGTCGAAGCTACACGTATAAGACATGCATCATTCTTCAAAGTTAAAACGGACTTTCTTCGACACTTACCTTGATAATTCATGTGACCTTATCTCTCTTGTGCTTATCCATTCCAAGGTCTTGCTCTATATAAATCATCTTTCCCAACAGGATGCGAATCCACACTTCGTACTGCACTGTAAGCACAAGCAACATAGATGAGTTGGTGCTTAAAGCCTTTGTTAGAACTTGCGGTACTTATCCAAGCTCATAACAATTCTTGGAAATGGGTGGCATGGGAGGAAGAGGGAAAGTAGAGACGGATCCTAGAGCCTTCCGGCAGGTTTGCTGTCGGTGGCGTGGGAGGGTTGGTTTCCAATCTTCTCACCGCTAGTAATCCGCCTGAGCCTTGATTCTTTTGGACTCTGACCTCGACAGCTAACTGAAGACGAGGCGCGGTCCTTGGAGTCAGGACTCCAACCTTCACTCGTAAGAAGAGCCACATGGTAATGTGTCCGAGTTTATGCCGGAAGCAATTACCATGTGTACTAGTTTTTGCCAAAGATAAGTTTGTTGTTTTTGTTTTTACTTAATGACATGAAAGAGATTTAAACTCAGGACTTCTTTCGACAAAATGAAGACTCAAGTGGAACTGAAAGAAACGATCACGGGCTTAGTTCGGCAAAAAATTTCTTCAGCGTAATATGTTTGCTGAAATATGATATCATTGAAAGGAGTTTTCCTAGAAAATGTGACGTGAGAAAAGGTGCTGTCCACCACCATGCATCCAGTAGTTTTCCTAGTGAAATAGATCTTTTCATTTGCAAATGTGTTGTAGGTCAAATGATTAAGAGAATTCATCTTTGCACGTAAGGGCTTCTGTTTGAACGATTGAATCCCCTTTTGTTTGTATGGCGTTAGAAGTTACAAATTCTTTGTGGGTTTGAATCTTGATAGCTTCAAGTCTCTAACTCTAGCAGCCTGGCTTGCGGTTACGTCCCAGGTTGAGCAAATTGGCTCAGGCATAAAATCACGTAATTTTCTTTGATTTGAAATTATTTGGTTGGTCATATGTTATGAGAAATTCAGTTCAGCTAAAGATGATGCGTTCAGTGACTTGTGCGTGCGGATAAATTGTGATACAATGTCTCCAAACTGATGTCATATTCATATCTGATAGTGAGCTCTCTCCAAATTAGGCTGGTTCTGTGGGTCTATAAAGTCATGCATAAGATTCCTAAGCAGATAGAGGAACCCCATTTAGAATAAACTCTCAAGGGGCTGTAGAGCAAAAGTGCTGATAATGTATTGTAGAAGGAAGTACCTTGAGAGTGAATGACAAAATTTTATTGGAGAATTGTTGTAATGTGTTACAATGGCATAACCACCTTTATATAGTGGTGTGACTATCTGTCAAATTATTCAATGGGTAGAATCAGTTGGACTAATTAATTGAAAAATGAATAGCCTATTCATTTGAGGAATCAATGGCGTGACGATTACAGCAATTAATTGAGAAATGAATGACCTATGTTAACACTCAAAACTTGTGGATCAAACTCAGATGGATGTGGGTCAGCTCACATATCATTTTGAGTTTCAAGCTAAAAACTCAAGGACCACTTCTATTGATTTTCAATATCAAAACTAAAGTAATAAGTTATACTAATATCATATACCATTTTAACTAAAAAGCTTATCGAATTTAAGGAAAACTATGAATAAAAAGGCTTCAGTGTCTCACAACTTTATTTTATTAAACAAAACCATCTAATAAAAATAAGAATGAAAAAAAAAAAAAGCGGTAGCATTTTCATTAATAAGTTGACATTTGGTGGCATCAATAATTAGAAAAATTCACCAACCCTAAAGATTAAGGAAAACGTTTAGTTGGCTGGGGCTATAGGCTTTTATAAATATTGAACTCAATTCAACTTTTAAAATTTCGAAACACTTTTCGAGTTTTGCGTACTTATTTTTGTTTAGTTGGACTATTTTTAAAAATTAAACTCAAGATCAATTTAAAAACATAGATAATTTGTTAAAAACCAAAAAGTGAGATTTTGTTGAATTTTTTTAACTCAACAAAACTCTAACTATCTCCAATTTCTTCCGATGTCCGAATTTTCTCTCTCATCACCCTCTGTCTCTCCTATTTAATTTAGGACAATGATTGTTTGCCCTCCCACTTCCAGTGTCCTTCTGTGTCCTCTTGTTTGTTTGTCTTCTGTCTCTACTATTCATTTTTGTCTTATTATCTCTATAAAAAAAATAATATAAAATGTTGACGTGGTTTAACCGTGACCACACAAAACAGGAGTGTACGGGAGGGCACAGGAAATGAGAGGGCAGACAATCATTGTCCTCCAATTTATGCTGCTTTTCTCTCTCTCCAATTGCTGCCCCTCTTCTCTCTCTCCCCTCCGACTTCGTGCTAGTAATTTAACCAAACAAGTTTTAAAATTTTGAGATTTAAAAAATATATATATATATATATTTTTTTTTCTTAAGGGATATTCTTAAAATATAGTTTTTTGATAGAATATCAACCGGATCTTAAATTTTTTATTTGAAAATGAATTAATTATCTTGATTAATTTCAAAACCAAATAGCCACAGGGGTGCATGCCTTGTATGTAAAATCGTAATCCATTTTAAAAGTTGAATTAGTAACTACACCTTGATTTCACTTTAGGCAAAACTATAACCCTGTAAATGCTTCATATAATTACCTGAGAAAGCACTTTCGTTTTTCTTTTTCTCTAAAAATTGTTATATATCTCCAGATGAATAACTTGTATTTTACATAAAAAGAATTGCTATTGGTACTCTAAAAATCTTAATTTACACTCCAAATTTTTTATAATTAAAAAAAAAAAACACTTACAAGGAGTGTAAAATGAGATTTTTTTAGTATTAATAACATCTCCCATAAAAAATGTATTATGTTTCGTCCAAAAGTGTAACAAAAAGAGCAAGAATAAAAATTGTATTCCATTACTTAATTGTCCAGGACTCTAATATGACTTTTATAATTCTATTACTATGTTTGGAACAAAAGAGTAAAACATCAAATCTTTACTTCTAATTTGTTTACCATGATAAACTACAAGGACAACGAGAAAATTTGTTGTATCAAGCACGCGCTCATTTTGTCTAGTTGCATTCAAGCTTTTATGTTCCTGAAGAACGTCTTGAGTTTAAATCTCGTACACGACAGGTAGCAAAAATCTCAAAAAATTTCTTCTGTAGGTGCTCATCGCCATCACGAAAACAACACATACCCTATGCTCGGTCGTGGACGGTGGCTGAAGTCATGATCCTTGAGGATCGCACAGATAGCTGCTCTTCATCACTTCAGAGGCCAAGCTATGTGCTGGTGAAGAATAGCAGCATCGACATCGCAGCCGTCCGAAAATTCTAGGATCCAGAGGTTGTGCGACAGCATCTACTTTTTCTTCTTCCTCCCATGCCACCCATTTCCAGGAATTGTTACGAACTTGGATAAACAGCACAAGTTCTAACAAAGGACTTAAGCACCACCAATCCATGGGTATAGGTTACATGGGAGCATTTTTGCTCACCGTAATAACTATGGTGTATGCTTACCATATCAATTGACATATGTCATTTCATTTAACTCTAGTTAATTTTCACATTAAATATTAATTTTTCAATTTTAAAAAGAAATTAACCAAGATTAATTGAACGGACACGTGTCAATTGATAGATGTATTGTGAGCATACACCTTAGGTTACAGTGCAATAAGAAATGTGATTTCTCATATTGCTGGGAAAGATGATTTATAGAGTAGGGCCTTGGAATGGATAACCACAAGAGAGATATGGTCACACTAATTGTCAGGGTAAGTTTCAAGGAAAGTCCGTTTCAAGAACCTCATGTGTTTTACGTGTCACTTCGACATTAGAAAAATTAGATTATGTATAACTGTAACGTTTATTTCACCAATAAATAAAAGATTCGATCTACCATGTTACTCAGAAATAGTATTCGACTCGTTGAGTTAACTCGACTCATTTTAAGGAACAATCGGTGTAACTAGAGTATGGTTACGTAAGTTACTATTTTGCTCAAATTATAACACATGAATTTATTTCTTAATTAATATTTATTAGAAGTAAGACATATCAACCATATTGCCAATCATTATTATAACATGTTAATAATAAATTTATATCATAGGGTCAACTCAAATAGATTAATTATAAATTTAGATCTATATGCAAAGTTCTAAAAGAGGTTAGGCATTAGTTGGGTGGTAGGGTGGGGCCTAGTACCTAGGCAGCTAGGCGGGGCCTAGGCTGACTAAACGGATTTAAGTAAATTTATTGTATATTGTACAAGTAAGTGTCTATTTATTCCTAAAAAAACACAATTATATTGGGATACATAAATTGCAAAATAAAATAACATATAGATTATAAAGTATTAGAACATATTAAAAACATGGGGAACAAGCGTACAATAAGTGTTCATCAAAGTATTCACATTTTATTGACAAAAAGATGCAAAATGAAAACACAATTGTATTGGGATACATAAATTGTAAAATAAAATGACATGTAGATTATAAAGTATTAAAACATATTGAAAACATGGGGAGTAAGCATAGAGTAAGTGATCATCCAAGTATTCACACTTTATTGAAAGAAAAAAAAGTGAAATGAAAACACAATTGTATTGGGATACATAAATTGCAAAATAAAATAACATATAAATTATAAAGTATTAGAATATATTGAAAACATGGGGAACAAACATATAATAAGTGTTCATCCAAGTATTCACATTTTATTGACAAAAAAAATGCCAAATGAAATTCATCGATTTTCCGTCTAAGTGATAATCGCGACCTACATGGGTGCCTAAGGGGGGTTAGGCGGATGTCAAAACAGGTCCAAGTACACTTTTTTAATTTTCAAACATCTAGGAACTAATTGGAGTGGTGACCAACCACCTAGCGTTCAGATCTTTTAGAACAGCATCTATATGTCAAGCAAGACTTAAGTAATATTATTTTTAACGCAACTCAATATTCTTTTAATAGCGTGACAACTATCTAACAAGAGTTTTTTTTTTTTTTTTCTTCACATTTCGGCTTAGTTAAGTGGCTAGAACAATATGTTTCCCCTTTACACTTGAGCTTGAAACATTTTTTTTTAGGTAATAAATATTTCATTAATCAAATAGAATGAGAATCGTCGATAAAAAATATAATTCCATAATTACAAACGCAACAAAAAGACAATACAAAACCTATTCCACATAACCACATCGAACCAAACAGAAAGATACACTCATGAGGACAAAACTTTGCATCAGTTTCTAATGAACTTGCAAAAGATGACGCTCCTTCGGTAAAGAAGCATACTATGAGACATTACGACGATGTCCTCATAATTCTTTGCCAGGCAAACAGACAACAAAACAAAACAAACAAAAAAATGACAATACTAAATAAACTCTTCATAGGTTCGTTTCCTAAATAAGCTCACAAGGTCTAAAGTCTACGAGCGAGACCCAACTCCGTCAATACACACAAGGTAATTTACCATCACCTAAAGACTATGCAAGAGAACATGACTGTGAATCCCTCAAACCACTGAAACACCCTACAAGGGAAATACCACACCACCCATTGATGATCTTGCAATCGTCGCAAAAAACCTTACTATGAGTCACCTGTAACAAATGTCAAGCTTCCCCCGCAATCCTTGACAAGCGCACAAACTACAAAATCACCACCTTAATTTTGAACAACAATTATTACTCTAAGATCTGAAGTTGAGCAGTAAGTTATAACCATTGCAAAAGCTCTCCTCTTCGAAAGGAGTAGTGACCACAACCACAAACACAAACACTCTCCTAAAAAAAAAATGAGAGAACGACGCTACTAATAACCGGAAAAGAAATAGAAGGGATAAAAATGGAATGATGCCGACCCTTAGGCAAAAAAATGGGGCCGGCGACGATAGGTTTTTTCTTAAGGTTTCTTCTCCCCAACGGCTAAGGTTTTTCTTTAGGGAATATTAGAGCTCGAACCATCTTCCGTTTAGATTTGTTTGCTACAAAGTACAAACTATCGCTTACATCGAAAAAATTATCATAATATAAAGGCTTGTTTTTTGCAGTGTCACTTAACTTGATTTTAATTTTAAAACTCAAATTTCATCATTTAACGTTCTAAAATTTAATTTTTGTTTACCACTTTGAGAAAAAGACAAAAGAAATCAAACTTATAAATTACCCTTATGTAAATGGTCATCACATGTGGTACAATATCTTAATGAATAAAATATTAAATTTATCTATACGTCTTGAATTTGAAATGCTCTACCTTTTAAATTAATGTAATAGTTTCAAATTCTCATGTTTATGGTAATCATAATAAAATTTTTGAAAAAGAAAATGGGCATGCGGTGGACCCGTGCTCATCGTTGACGGAAGACACAGGACAAACGAGTGAGCAGAGTAGCGCAGAGGGATGAACATTCCAACAAGAATCGCAGCCAGACTTCCCCTACTCGCCTCTCCTTCGCTTCCCTCCTCCTCTTCCTCCGCTCTCCCCCTCCACAGCTTCTCCTCTGTATTCTCTCACCACCGTCAGTCAGTCAGTCTCTCTCTCACAGAGTAAGAAAACAAACGTATCAAACTTAGCTATTTCTTCTTCTTTTTCTCCAGGCTTGCGCAATTTGGGTAATTTAGAGCCAACAGTGAACACCAGTAGATTGAAACGCTGCGTTGCGAAGAAGATGGCTTGGAGTTTGGAGAAGAGCAACGGGGGCGTTGAAACCCACTTGGGGGTGGTCTGGCCGGCCACTGAAGCTCACGCTGAAGAGGCCGTAGGAGCTCTCAGAGCCGGAAAAGTCATTGCCGTCCCCACCGATACGCTCTACGGCATAGCATGTGATGCTTGGTATGGCAATCAACCCAATGCACTCCACCTGTTTGTTTAAATGCCTCAGTGTCTAAAGCCCTGTTTTTCTGTTTCTCGATATCGGTATAGTGATCTTATTTTTGTTATGATGATTTATAAGAAAGATTATCTTTTTAATTTATTGTTTTTCTGAAATGGTGGAGAATTATTCAGCTCATTGGAAGCAGTGAATCGGATATATGAGATTAAAGGACGTAAGCATACAAGTCCTCTTGCAATTTGTGTTGGGGATGTTTCGGACATTGAGCGGTTTGCTGTCACAGACCATTTGCCCCATGGCTTGCTTGAGGTTCTCCTTCCAGGACCCGTTACTCTTGTACTAAGCCGAGGTAAGAACACAAATTATAAGAGTTCTCTCTGATAGACACTACCATTTGATTGATGCTGGATATCATTAGGGTTGGTTTCGTTTCGGCTTTTTCACTTACACATTCAGTGTTGAGTAAGAAAAGCTAGTTTGGGTATTTTGCAGGGGAGTCGAGCATTCTTGAGAAGTCTTTAAACCCAGGATTGCATAGTATTGGAGTTCGAGTACCTGACTGTAACTTCATCAGGGACATTGCACGCGGATTGGGGAGTGCATTGGCCCTTACAAGTGCAAACCTGAGTGGGCAGCCAAGTAGTGTTTCCATCAAAGATTTTGAGAACCTCTGGGAACACTGTGCGTACGTTTACAATGGTGGTGTGCTTCCTTCAGGCCGTGCAGGCTCAACAGTTGTGGACCTCACCAGAATCGACAAGTACAAGATTCTTCGACCCGGAAGGTAAGAATCTCAGTTGACTACACTACCTTTTCTATGATGTGAATGGCTGCAAAATATATGACATTATTGTTGTCGTTTTGTTGTTTAAATCTAGAAGAAGTCCTTAAGGAAATAATAGTTAGCGACTCAGTAGAGATGAGGTACAGCTGAAGGATTACATATGGTGTATTTTCATCTCATCAATGCATTCTAATTTTGGGAAATCTTATGAAGTTTGTCTAGTACTCAGTACATACGAAAAGATGACGTAGTAAACTAATAATTGGTCTAATGATGCCTTTTATTGTTCAATTTAACAAAATTGGCGGGATAGCTATCGGTAATAATCATTTATAGTTTTTCTCCAAATTTGAAATGCAAATATGTTTAGGATTGTTTTGATGGATCAAAATCCCGTTTGTTGCTCATTAGATATGTCTTCTTTATATCCTCGTTTCTTTTGCTTTGGACATGCTAATTCGTGCTTTAGTACAACTAGGGTCTGGTGGTATAAATATTCCCTGCTTTGCCATTGCAGTGCGAGAGACGAAACTGTTGCAATTCTCGAAAGGTTTTCTCTTGAGGAAGAAGGAACAGCTACTTAAACCCGCATGCATGGCAACTTCCATGCTTTACATGCCTTAGTGGCTGTGACCTGGGCAGCTGTTAGGTATGAATCGACGATATATACACATAATCTGGAATTGAAGCGAATTTGTGATTGTAGAATTCTACTTATTTTTTTAATTTTATATGGTCTGAAGATATCGATGAGGTTTGGAGAAAAATTGCACTTGGTAATGTATTATTAGATACGGGGATGCCACGTGACCCTGAATCCATTTCGTGCAAGTCCTTCTTAGGAAGATACTAGTGACGACGTCGTTTCGCTTCTAGGCCTCGTGGACAAACCATGTTCGATGGAATATTGGATGCTTCACCTTCAGGGCTTTTTTTTTTTAGTACAAAGTTATTTCCTTATAATATGCTGTCAAATTTGTAAATGGAGGGTGTCATATTCACAAACACAATAGTTTAAAGGACGGATTCATCAGGGATGACAACTTAACAATATGATAACACGATTCGAGCTCAATATGATTCACTTCTTCACAAACCAACATGACGTATCAAATACGCGCAACTCAATCATTAGAGGTTAGGCCAATCGGTGAGAGATAATGGAAGAAGAGTTACGGTTATAATAAGTTCATAATTTAATTATTTCAAACGTAACTCTATTTCAACGTAACAAAGTACAAATATATAATCCGAATGTGTTTTCCACTTCTTTTGGAGATTTTGTTATTATTACAAGAAGTGAGCTTAATATTTGTTTAATGTAATGCTAGATAAATTAAATTTGTAGACAAAGTTTTGAAAAACTAAAGGACGTGGAAGTTGATAATTGGTTTATTACTTACACGTTGATAAATGTGCTTATTTTTATTGTTGACATATTATTTAGTTTACAAAATTTGATCTGTTTAACATTACTTATATGTTTAAACTTTCGGAGCCGCCGATTCTGGTTCAAAGGCTTAGATGAGTAGACTAGCGCGTGTCCTGAAGCGCGTGGGCAGCAATTTGAATTGGAAGGCCAGCAGTTTAGTTTCTTGAAGTCGTTTGTCTTCCCGCGACAGAATATAAGGCAAAACGGTTTATACTAGATTCCCAATTGTTGTGCTTCTTCTTTGGCATCAAAAAGTTGGGAACTCGTGCTCATTCGTTCTCCCGAAATTAGGCATTCTTTTGTTTAGTGACGGATTTAGAAATTTTTATTCCAACGGTCGGTGTAAAAGTTGCCAAATATTCTAAAACAAAAGTTGTCCTTAAACATTAGACAGTTCTATTATTTTAAATCTGCTAGGAATGTCAAATTTTAAAACCAAATGATGTGTCACTGATAAGAAATAAGCATGTTAACCGACACTTAATTAATAATCCAATCATTTACAATCACATCATTTGGTTTGCAAATTTAGTTTAAAAAAGGAAACTTTAAAGAAAAGCTCTCGTTACTGTTCACTTTAACGAAAAATCATATTTTTACACTAAAAAGTCAATACTGGTACTATTCACCTTACCCTTTATTTTGTTATTATCGTTAAAACTCAATGTTTTCAAGTCATTTTCATTAGTTTTACTTTAAAAAAATTTAGTCTCTCTAACATTACCCTCGATCTTATGCAATAAACAAAGGGGTGTGATATCCACACACCTTTTTTACTTCTCACACACCTTTTTAATTTTCGGCCGTCAGATCGAATAAATTGAAGAAAATCAACAGATAGAAATTAACAAAGCGTGTGTAGGAAGTAAAAAATAATGTGTGGATAACACTTCTCTAAACAAATGGCTCAGGCTTATGTTGAGGTCTTGTGGAAGAGGAAGGCTGAAAATCACAAAGAAAGAATAGCACACGCAATTATTAATGGCTTCCTGCTTTGTATGGTTACTGATTAGATCCCAAGATTAAACATTTACCAGAAAAATAGATACCAAAAAAACTGGTTTTGTTGTTTATGAAAAAAAAAAAAAAGAAATGGTTTTGTCCATATTTTCCATCCCAGACAATCCACAAATGGTACAAATTCAACCATTGAAAAACAAACTTCCAAAAATCCGTTTGTTGGGGAGGCCTTCCTTTGACGACAACTCTCTTCTCTCACTCCCCATCTCACCTCCAAATTTTCCAACTTCGGGAGTTCCATAGCTTCTTCTTCTTCCCCTTTCACTCTGAGTGGTTCTGACTGATCATCTCCACACTTCTCCCAAGGTAAACAGAAAAGACCCATTAGCACAATCACCAGCACACCACGTGTCCACCAATTGAGCATCCTTTTGAGCTCACTCTCTTGTGATTTTATGCAAAATTTGCTCAGGAAAGTAGAGAATTCAGTTGGTTTGAATGTGATTAGGTGTTGGATTAATTTAGTGTTTTGGGTTCTGGGAGAGCTGAGAAATTTATGAAGAAGATCATTTTTATTAAGTTTCTTTAGCTGCTCAGCTTAAAGAAAGAGTGAATTTGAAACCCCACAAATTCTTTTTCTTGTTTATATTTTGGTTCATGTTTAATCGAAGTTCTTGTCTTGACATGATAATTTTGAATTTTGATGTATAAAATGATGAGTTAACAGAATTTCTAGCAAATTGTGCTTTTGAATTGTGAAGGGTAGAGCTTTGCAGTTGTGGAAATGGCGACAGGAGCTGTACCGGCTTCCTTTACGGGTCTGAAAGGCAGGGACTCGAGTTTCGGGTTTGCTAAAAGTATGGATTTTGTGAGGGTTTCTGATTTGAAGAGGTTCAAGTCTGGCAGAACAAGAATCTCAGTGATACAAAACTCAAATCCAGGGTCGGATATTGCCGAGCTCAAGCCTGCATCTGAAGGCAGCCCTTTGTTAGGTTGTTGAACTCCCTAATTGGTTTATTCAGCCCTTTGTTTTAATGCATCTGTTGTGTTTTCCTTGAAATTACTTTTGGCTGCCATGAAACCGGGTGAAAGTAAAAGCAGATTACTGTGTTTTCTTTTGCCTTGTTTCCTGGTTTCTCAGAAATGCTGAACAAGAAATAATCGGTAGTTATTATTAGCTGGCTGTAATTTTCCTGCATTGTTCTTTCTTTTTAAGTTTTCTTCAGTTTTCCGAGAAACGCAATGGAATGTGAGGTAGTATATATCAGCCTAAGTATGTGTGTCTTTCTACCTTTATAAAGTTTCTTTCATATCGTCTAATAAATGGCTTGTTCAATGTAGTTCCTCGGCAGAAGTATTGTGAATCTGTACATAAAACTGTCAGGAGGAAAACACGCACAGTTATGGTTGGAAATGTGGGTATTGGTAGTGAGCATCCCATAAGGATTCAAACAATGACCACAACTGACACAAAGGATGTCGCTGCTACAGTTGAACAGGTTTGTTACTTCCCTCATTTCTTCATTTATATATAAGTGGATTGACCGAATCTGTATATCTATGATATCTCTGGGCCTGATTCAGAATGTTGGCATATCAAATTTCTCCTTTGGTAGGTAATGAGAATAGCAGATAAGGGAGCAGATATTGTTCGGATAACAGTTCAGGGGAGGAAAGAAGCAGATGCTTGTTTTGAAATTAAAAATTCCCTCGTGCAGAAAAAGTAGGTTTCATTGTTGTAATTCCAGTGGGTATTTAAATATTTACCTCTTATGTTGTATGAGGCTTGACCATGTTTCGATCTATATGTGCAGTTATGATATACCTTTGGTGGCAGATATTCATTTTGCTCCTACTGTTGCACTGCGAGTCGCTGACTGCTTTGACAAAATTCGTGTCAACCCTGGAAATTTTGGTATACAGTTCACAGTTCATTGTTCAATGGTTCTGTTTTATTTTATTTGAATAGAATGATTGTGGACTCATTTAGGTGTCGTATTACAGCTGATAGACGGGCCCAGTTTGAGAAGCTAGAGTACACGGAAGACGACTATCAGAAAGAACTTGAGCACATTGAGCAGGTAAGCATATATCTATGAGTATATGGCCTCTGCTCGTGTTCACTGTTAAAAACACACATTTACGTTTGAGAATATCATGTGGCGTAGCTTTTCCTTAAAATTTGATACTTATGTGTGATATGTAACTTCCTTAAAAAAAAGTGAATTGATATGAAGAAAATAAAATAAGGAGATTAAAGAGGCAAATATTTTGTAAAGTATAAAACCTTTACTGTTGTGTATCAATCATGTTGATACAGTCATGCCCTAACTTTTGTTCTCAACAACTCAGGTTTTTACTCCATTGGTTGAAAAGTGTAAGAAGTATGGAAGGGCAATGCGTATTGGCACAAACCACGGGAGCCTTTCAGATCGTATAATGAGCTATTATGGGGATTCCCCTAGAGGAATGGTGAGCAAATTATCTTTGCTGAAAATAGTTCAAGCTTGTTTGATGTGCCTACAAATCCATCAGGTGTCATTGACACGTCATTCCTTGAACAGGTTGAATCTGCATTTGAGTTTGCAAGGATTTGCCGGAAGTTGGACTACCATAATTTTGTTTTTTCAATGAAAGCAAGCAATCCAGTTATAATGGTCCAGGCATATCGTCTGCTTGTAGCTGAAATGTATGTTCAAGGCTGGGATTATCCATTGCACTTGGGAGTTACTGAAGCTGGAGAAGGTGAGGATGGGCGAATGAAATCTGCGATTGGTATTGGAACCCTTCTTCAGGTACAGTTCGAATCATTTTGTTGAGTTGTTGTGATCGACTAGTAAACATTGTAGGGATTATTCTGATTTATGTGCCACTAATGTGCTATTTGTTAAGCTGGCTTTAAGAATACTTGTTTTCATACTGCAACTGTGCTTATGACAGATGGTAGGTTCGCCTATTTGTGTGTGTCATGTGATCCTGCACTTCATTCAATAGATTGAAGTTAATATTAATGCCACGAAGCATTACATTTATAAATCATGTCTAGCCATAATGGAACTCTGGAATTTTGTATGAAGGATGGCTTGGGTGATACAATTAGGGTTTCACTTACTGAAGCACCGGAGGAGGAGATAGATCCCTGCCGAAGATTGGCCAACCTTGGTATGAGAGCAGCTGAACTTCAGCAAGGAGTGGTAGGATTTTACAATATCCTGTTAGTTGATTAATATTCTTGATCACTCTGTTTTAGGAATTGAAAGTCTAATCACCTTTCTTGATGGCATTATTTGTATCAGGCTCCATTTGAAGAGAAGCACCGACATTATTTTGATTTTCAGCGTCGATCTGGTCAACTGCCAATGCAAAAGGAGGTCAATCCAGATCTTGATATTGAATCACTTTGTGCTTCATATTTTTTTTCTTTAGCAGAGATAATGATGTCGTCAAAACACAGGGTGAAGAGGTGGATTATAGAGGTGTCCTGCACCGTGATGGATCTGTTCTCATGTCAGTATCCCTTGATCACTTGAAGGTACCGTTGAAACCATACATTCTTTATTCCATTTTCTTGCGTTCTTTTTTTTCCCCTTGAGAGGGAGGGGGGGTTTGTTGGGTGGAGAAAGTACACTGACCTTTTTGCATTTTTTATAGACACCAGACCTCCTGTACAAGTCACTAGCAGC